TTTCTCCAAGTTCTTGTCTACAGTACTTGTGATTTTTCTTGTTGACCTCTTTTCAGTCACATTTTGCTATTGGGTTTTGAGGGTTGATGGGGGTCTTGCCATTTACTCAAGGGGGCAGCACCTGGGAAAATATTGGGAACAACTGATATAGAAGTTAGATAAGGCTGCACACACACAAGTGGGTGGGGAGGAGGGGGTGGTGTTGATCAATCAGCAAGTCCTTTACAGAACCTTGCTCTCTTCACGGTACGCCTGAAAGTACCCCTTTCTCTAGCCAGCTCTTCAGCCCCATGTGCTTTCAATGCCAATGCATCTTCAATGTCTTGTATCCTTTACGGTGGTCGACCCCTGCCTTGCCTTCCACAAACTGCACCTTGCATCACTGTCTTTTCCAAGCCACCATGATGCTTGATTTTGCCAAAATACTTTAACTTTCGGGACAGGATGCTGTTTATGAACCAGTTCTCCATGTTCAACTCATTCAGAATGTTGATGTTTTTCCTCTTCCTGATCCAAGGTATTCTAAGAATTTTACTATAGCATTTCATTTCAAAAGCTCCAATCTTTTTCCTAAGTGACTGAGCGAGAGCCCAATACTCACAACCGTAGGTTGCATGATCTCAAGATTTTCTACTTTAACCAATTTACTAGTGCTTTGCCATAGGTTCTTCATGTTATTTAATCTCTGCATTGCCAATGCAAGTCTTCTGGCTTCTTTTGAGCAGTCACCACTGTTGTTTACTAAAGAGCTAAGTATTCTAAATCTGTTAAATTTTTTATTTCTTCATTTTTGATTGCGATACATGGTTGGTGTGCTGAATTTACTAAGGACATAATTTTTGTTTTTAATTTAGAAACAGATTTACTTCTTTGCTGTATTTTGGGGTGGTGTTAACAATAGTAAATTTATCAAGTTGGTGCTCATATTTTAAATTGATATTGCAAATATATAAGTTGTGATCTCTTCATAATACATGCTTAGTTTTCTCTGTTGACATTCACCTCATCTATACAAATAATGTTAGCATTATATATATATATATATATACTACAATGAAACTTCCTGGAACATTCCTCCTTAACTATTTCTGTCCCAGCTTACATACAGTATGTCGTCAGCTCTAATCAGTGTGTATTAAACAATGAACGGTGTGTAATTATATATTTTACATTTAGTCTGAGCATGCAAAAGAAATCTGGCTAGATATGCTAACATATAGCAGAGTAAATGTTGTCTCTTTGACAGTGATGCATTCATGCTCTTTTCATCAGGTCTGTTTATCTCCTTAAGTAATTAAAACAAAACGTTCTGGCTGGTGCTGAAAGAGTGAAATGATTCATCTCAATGGATTTTTTTTTTGCCTAACATTTCTTCTCAGACGCACATAGGTTGTGCACACACAGGCTGTGCACACACAGGCTGTGCACACACAGGCTGTGCACACACATGTTGTGCACATACAGGTAGTGCACACACACATGTTGTGCACACACACACAGGTTGTGCACACACATGTTGTGCTCACACCGGTTATAAATTTACCATTGTGCACACACAGTTGTGCACACACACACACACACACACAGGTTGAGCACACACACAGATTATGCACAAACAGGTTGTGTGCACACTAACACAGGTTGTGCACATACAGTGCACATACAGGTTGTGCAAACATAGGTTGTGGACATATTGGCGAATAATTTGTAAACACTCATTTCCAGTTTTAGCTGGCATATATGGGTGAGGGGTTATGAATGCAGACTTATAATCACCTACAATATTTTAATAGAAGACACTTTGTACTGATTTCAGTAATGGTATCAGCTTCGAACCAGAAAGCAATGGCAAACTACTGAATGTGAAATTGCTAAGTAAAACCACTAACAGCCAAAAAATGATGGGGTTGATATGCAATGCCCTGTAAAGAATATTCAGTTAACTCTTTGAGTCCCAAAGAATGCATCATACTTTTATAGGTTCCCGCCTAGGGGCCTAATCAACGCAAGATGCGCCGATTTTACATCTTTTTTGACTACCCCTTGGGCCTCTGATGCTAAACCCCCTGGGACTCAAAGAGTTAAGTTTATTCATTCCGAGTGTTTTAACCAGGGCCGGATTTAGTCTTAATGAAGCCATAAGTTATACAAAGTCCCAAGGACCCTACCATTTTAAATTACGTCAGCTAATCTCAGAAAACAATAAAATATATACATCTTTAAATAAATTGATTATAAAAAATATACTGGCTTTTAATGTGTAGTAAAAGAAGTGTTTAAAAAAAAGAAGTGTTAGCAAAATGACAAAAATGTATATTATAAAATCCTCTAAAAGGCTCTACAGAAAGAAATATGATGAATGTTAAATTAGGAATTGACATCATATTAGTCTATTTCTCTTCCAGGACTCGTACAGCAAACCATTCAGCCTACCATCTCGACTGGACCCTTTGATCAGGTGATCACTGTTGGCTTTGTCAGTTACAAGATGGATGACTTCAGGCTAACAGTCAAATAATATCAGCCTAACACTCAGACACTATTAGTCTAGCAATCTTTCAGATGGAGTCAGACATTTATCATAAATATTCAGCATATGCATTTTGTCATCACATGTATTATTTATTCATTACCATGCAGGTTCCACTGCCTCATTTGAGGGGGAGGGAATTAACTTGCTGCCTCTTAATGAGCATATTGTTTAAAAAATCCTATATAAAAAAAAAAACTAGTTAATGGTTTTCTGAAATCAGATGTGTTGGGCCGCAGGTGCAGATATTGCAGTCTAGCTGCAAACAGTAACAGAACATGTCAACTGTTCTGTCAAGAATGAATGCACAAAAAGAGAAGAGTTTTTTTTTTTTAATCTTTCTGCTTATTCAGACAATTGCCTGTGGATCCGAAGAAGGTCAAGGCTTCAAATCCACATAAAGGCTGATTTTTTTTTCTCGAAAAATTTGACCTTGGCTTCTAGGTTGACCCAGCCTCAAAATGGTTAGGAGGTCATGTCCTGGTGTGATGTTAACTGCATCATTCATTGACTCTTCTTCGGTCTGATTTACCGATTTCACAATCAACATCATAGCACACTGGGCATATCCATCGGTTCTCTGGTGTGTAATTCTGAATTGCTTATGTCTTGGTTGTTGCTTTTTATAACTTTATTCCTAATTGTATCTCTTCTATTCACTCCTGCAGTCCTTCTCAGACATCTCATATCCAGGTTATTAATTTTCTGCTCTGATGTTTTTGTGAATGACCATGTCTGGCACTGGTAGCATAGGATGGGAATTAATATGCTTTGTATGTGATATGTTGGCAATATATAGTTTTGATCTCTGAAAATGAAACACAGCTGCAAGAAATGATGGATATAATTGTAACAGAAAGTGAAAACAGGGGTCTTGGTTTGAACAGCAGAAAAACAAAAGTAACGGTAATTACAAAGAAAACTGACCTTCTAAAATGCAACATGAAAGTAAATGGGACAAACCTCAAGTAAGCTGATATGTTTAAGTACTTGGGTACTCTGATAACATCAGAGGATGTGTTAAAGTTAAACGTCAAATAGCTTAAGCAAAGGCAGCATTTTACTAAATGAAGAATATTTTATGCAGTCTTTCTTTGTCAATTGAGAAGAGAAAGAGAATTCTTACAATTACTATAAATCCTGTATTGATATACAAAATTAAATCATAGACAGTTGGTAAATTAGTGAAAACTTTTTTGGAAGCTGCCGAAATGTGGTTTCATAGACGATGATGAGAATACCCTTGACAGACAAAAATTTAAAAAGTCATAAAGACGTCTTGAAAGAAACTGACTCACGGAGAGTACTGATTGCCCACATCAGAAAGAGACAGTCTGTATTCTTTGGTCATGTGATGAGAAGGGGACAACTGGAGTGCATCAGGACAGTAGGACAGTTGGAGGGAAGGAGAGGCAGAGGGAGACGGAGAAAACAGATGCTGGACAGTTTAACGTCATGGCATGGAGGATCAACTTTGTCAGAGTTGATTGAAAGTACGAGACAGAAGGTTGTGGATAGCTACCAACCAATACTGCATGGACTTTAAGAAGCATGAGATGGGGGTGGGGGGGGGGAGCTAGCTGAGCCAGTATACCATTTATTGTTGTTGTGAATTTACTTAATCAACTAAATGACTGTTAAATGCATGTCCAAGCGTAGTGATAACAGTAACATTATATATGTTGACAGCAATAAATATGCTGATGAGTTCAAAACCATCTTAATTTTGTTTGTGGTATAAATAAATAAATACAAATGCAAGTAAAAATTCTAGAACATGCATCTTTCCTTGGACAGCATACAAATGGGAATTACGAACCAATTCACAATAAATAAACAGGAAAATGAAGGCTTTTGGACATAAATGTTGTGATGTCAATTCTTGACTCAACTCAACTCAGCTCAACTCCCCACCACACCATTCTCTTCAGACTGTGATGAACTTTTCATGCCTCCACACTCACTTTCTGCCAAAGAGCCCTTGATAAAACTTGGCTTGTGATGCATCAGTATATTACCAGATGGTGTAGAAAAAGCCAGTCTGTTCGCTTGTTAATTTTCCATTACACCTGCATATGGAGAAAATGTTTAAAGGATGCTAACTACTCGGGACACATGAAGTGATGCTTGCCACTCTGCATGGAGAATAGCTTGTTATACTGTGAATCAAGTATAGAAGTGAGATTACAATGGATCTGAACATTGAAGAAAATTAGTTCATAAGCAATGCTAAACTGCAGCTGAAGTGGCTCAGGCATGTCAACTGCCATACAGGTTCTTAAAGACTAAAACTGAAAGCCATATTTTCTGGAAGAATAGACAGGAGTCAATGCACTTGTGGCATAATTATGAGTACATGAGCCCTAAAGAGACCAAGAGTCTTCCAACAGGTTGTGATGAGAGCAACATTCTGCAAAGACCTTGCTACATGATGATGATGATGATGATGGTGATGATGATGACTGACGTTTCAAAGATAACTATGTGTGACTGTCTCCATAGGTAACTGACTGGTAACATTATTGGCACTTGATGCTGCCTCTATCTTGTCCATGACGTAATGTCCAGACACTGTTGCTTGTGTCTGCTTGTGTTCACATGACAACTCTGATGTAATGTCCTGAGGTCTGTGGTAGAGCCATCTGGCGAGCAGCGACAGCAAGAACATCTCAAACACTAGCAACATTTGCAGCATCTCTGTGGAAGATCGTACAAGTATACTTTAGTTCTAAATCAAACATGTGGCCTCAGTTGTACATTCAGTTTTAGTGGACCAACTGGCAGGTATTCACTTCCACCGCATGCAGGAATATGCATTCAGGGGCAGATCACATCAATGCTAAAGAGGCTGGCTGGCAGATCATGACAGTTTCTGTTGGTAACATGAAGCGGCAGTGCCATGGTGCAATCAAATAGTGACAGCCCAACTAGAGACTAAGACATTAATATACTGTTAAAAACAAAACAAAAAAGAAATGCATAGTTACTGAAAGGCACAAACATACAGTTTTGACATTCAGTATCTTTGTAATGCAGTAAGTGAAATTACATAAATTTCACAAAAGAATACCTTAGGGTTCCACCAATCGACACATTTTTTTTTTGCATCTTGGTCACGATAATTTAAGCGTAGCCCTTTCCCGTTAGTATGGTGTGTGGCCTCCTCTTGCGTGGATCAGTGATGAATCTCCTGGGCATGGATGCAATCATATGTCTGATGTGGGCCTGTGGGATGGCTGCCCACTCTTCCTCTAACATCGTGCAGTCTGTTCGGAACAGTTTGATCAGACACATTACGTCCTGGGGGCAATGCTTGTGCAGTTGAGGAAGCTGTTTTAAACCTGTCTCCGAAGTGACGAAGCCGAATAAACCGATTCCCCGCTGCTGTTGTCATTCTGGGTCGTCCATTGCGATGTGGGTCTTCAACTAAACCAATGGCTTGGAACTGGTGCCAAAGTTGACTGATGATCCTCTGATGCACGTTTAGATGCCTGGGAACCTGAATTTCACTTTCTCCTGACTGCAATCCAACAATGGCATATATTCCTTAAATTTATCGATAGAGGCGCTATTCGTGACTGCTTGAAAATGAATTGATTGTTTTGGTGTTGCGTTATCCTTTTATAGTGTTTCAATTGCGTAGGCAGTGAATAGTGTTCACCGCAAATTGTATTTGTATTACTATTTATGGACTATTAGCACCTTGTTATTCCTACTAATATTATATATTTGTTTACTATTCCTACTTCTATTGTCCCACATCATCTTTTCCCTCCCTATTCTGTAAAGTACTTCACTTGACCCACTGGTGGGTCCTGGTGGTAGGAGTACTTCGTCCTTTGTTATTGTTGTGCAGTTCTTATCTAGGAAAGATATAAATTCATATCGAGAACAGCTCTGGCTGAAATGTAGATTTGCCTGTTGTTTATACATTATTTCCCTTCCCCCTTTTGCTCAGCTTTTTTTTTTTACAAGGTCAGACAATTAAGTAATGAGACTAATTCCATAAAAATTAAAATAATCAACAGTTGAAAAAATAACTTGTATTTTATTCAAAGTAAGCGCCTTGTGCATTGATACAGTGAGTAGCACGATCTAAAAAACACTGGAATGACCTCTGTAGTTCTTCTGTTGCTATGGCCCTTAAAGTCGATGTTATGGCCCTTTGGATGTCATCAATATCGTCAAAGAAGCGTCCTTTCAATGGTAACTTTTGATTTTGGGAATATAAAATAATCACAGGGAGACAAATCTGGGGAATAGGATGGATGCTTGAGAACACACACTTGTTTTGGAGCTAAAAATTGTTTTGATGATGTCTCGTGGGTACTCAACCCGCTGATGTTTTTGGCCATCAGAGAACGAATGCGGTACAAACCTGCAAGCAACTTTTTTCTTGCTAAAATCTTGCACTAAAATTTTAAAAAGGGTCTCTCTATTAACACCGGATTCATCTGCCATCATCCTGACAGTAAAACAACGATCTTCTTGTATTCGTTCTGTGACTTTTGCAATGTGTTCATCATTACAAACAGAAACTGTGCGTCCAGGTCTAGTAGCATTAGTAATCATTTCTACACCGCTTTTGAATCGTAAATACCACCTGAAAATCTGTGCACCAGATAAACAATTGTCCCCATAAACTTGTCGCATCAATTCAGCTGTGTCATTGGTGTTTTAAACAGAATTTAATGTTTGCTTTCTGCCATGCTGATTTCGCAACTGTGTACATCTAACTAGGTCAATAAAATGGCAGCTTGTTTGTCGTCTGCTTATTAGGCAGGGATTTAAAGTTGTCAGATCATAAATGGTTGCTTCTTTGGATTGCATACTTTGCTCCATAGATGGCATTTTTATCTTAGGCTTAATAAAATCAGTCTCATTACTTAATTGTCGGACCTTGTAGTTACAGTTCACTGGATTCATATCATTTATATAGTTTGCTCAATGGCTACATTTGATCTCTGTAGCTACATGGGAGTCTGTAGCTACACGGGGTCTCTGTAGCTACATGAGGGTCTCTGTAGCTACATGGGAACTCTGTAGCTACATGGGGTCTCTGTAGCTACATGGGGCCTCTGTAGCCACATGGGGTCTCTGTAGCTACATTGGATCTCCGTGGTAAAATTATCGTTTGCCTCGCTCTCTCTCTGAAGCTCATTTTACGAGCGCATTTTTTAAACTAACTTCCCTGGGTATAGTCGCTGGAACTATAGAGTTCATGCTTTGTGCTACGTTCTTGGAAGGAAGGATGGCGTAGAGGGGGGCTTGCTACTCTGAGGAGAGAGGTCTGTGCAAATGGGACAACTGGGTCAGTCTATCCTCCCGACTGTATCTTTCCCTTTTGTTTGCGATTTAGAGGCTAGTGAACGCGTTTCACAGTCCGCAGCTTAACAGAGTCCGATCTCCGATATGATGATGTTGATGATGATGGCGAGGATGATGGTGATGACGAAAGATGATAACGGTGATGAAGATTAAGAATTAGGAAAACTACCGTCTACCATTTCCTCTGACTGCTGTAGTGAGAATCCCCACACAAACTGGCAAGTCGAACCTGGCCAAGATGGTGAACACGCCGTCCTGCAGCTGACAACAGACGATCACCAACTGCAGCGCCAGATATTTGGCCACCAGGTAGTCTGGCTTCAAGAGATCCTTGCACAGCTTGAAGAATACATGTTGTCCAAACAGGGCCAACAGTGAGGAGATGAGAGCCACAGCGTTCAGATACGGGTAAGCGTTGTCCAGGGTAAACTGCGAGAATTGGTGACAGCAGTAAGCATCTGGTTATCACATCAACACAAAAACTATAACTAATAAGCTGAGGCCCTTAGCTGTACAAAGACCTGAGGCCTTTACTCGTCTAAATGACATCAGCTAATCTCTGAAACATTAAAAATATAATCATCATCAGGTACCTTGCCGACTGGCGTGGGTGATCGTGCTTCTCCGCGATCCGCATGTATCAGTTCGTGTGATGAAACACCTCCGTGCCATGCAGCAAAACTGTCGAGAATCTTCTCTCGCTGTCTTCCTCTGTCCCTCCTTTCACAGATCTTTCCAGTGGTCATAACATTTTCCAGTTTCCCTCTTTTCATAGCATGGCCGAAAAATGATGACTGTCTCCTTTTGATGTCTGTGACAAGTTGTCTTCGGACTACCGCCTCTTTCAAAACCTCTTGGTTGCTCTTTTTGGCTGTCCAGTGTGTTTTAGGCATTATTCTGTAAAACCACATCTCTGAGGCCTCAAGAAATTGTTTGGCCTGCCTACATGTCGTCAAGGACTCACAGCCATATGTTAAAACTGGATGTGTGTAGCAAGCAAGAATTCTTTTTTTTTTCTAACCTTCAATGACAGAGATAAATTGCATAAGATGTTCATTTTATAAAATGCAGTTTTTGCCTGTCCAATTCTGTTTCTTATTTCAGTTATTCATCTTCCATCTGATATTATCCACGTGCCCAGATACTTAAATTTCTGTACCTGTCCCAAAATAACACCATTGACTTTTATTACACATTTAGGAATAATTCTTTTCTTTGATACCACCATTACTTATGTCTTCCCATTATTCAAACTGACGCCCATTCTTCCATTTTCTACCACCACAATGTCTATCATTTCCTGTAGTTCTTTTTGACTTGTTGCTATCAAGACTGTGTCATCAGCATAACGTAAATTGTTTATATTGTGCCCACCAAACACAATTCCAGTCATATCAATTAAAGATCTCATTATATATTCACTGTAAAGTGAAAATAAATCACGTGACAGGCACATCTTCAAACTTGGCAGGCGGTGTAAAGTAAATATGCATTGGATACTATCCCACTGTGGAGTTCCTGGACGAAATAGCTGATACTCTGTACACATTTAATTTAGCCAGACTTCTTTAGCCACTTTGCATTGTTCACTTTTTTTTTTTTTTTTATAGAGTATTCTTCTTTATCATTCTTTTTCTTCCTTTTTTCATCCATCAAGTGCAGAATTTCGGTTGACATCCATTTCTTTTTTGCAACTCTATGGGTTGATGTGACTGTCTCTTTTGATGTCTGTTAAATTGACATAAAAAATATAAACGACTTTAAAATATAAGGATAATGAGAGTATTGTGTCGTTAAATTGTTTAAAGAATATACTTTGTAAAAATCGCTGAAATTGTAATAAATAATCCCCGGGGCCGCGTTAACGCAGTCGATAAGAGGGTCGCTTTCAAATCCAGCTTCGACTCGCTGCAGCCCACGGTCGGTGTTCGAGACCGGGCGGTTTCCGGGGTTCACCCAGCCTCTAGAAAATGGGTACCAGAGTTGACACTCTGGGGTAAATGGAGGAACGTCGCTGTAGCTACAGATTTACGTGCGAACGGCGACACAGGTGGACAATTCTTATCAGCTGTCCGTACTGGTGGCAGAGCACTTATGGTTTATAACAGTGTGCAATGAGGCTGGTTCACATCTCCCGATTTTAGCTTTACTTTTACCTTTACCTTTAATATATAATCCTCTAAGAAGCTAAGTTACAACACATTTTTTTTTTCAAATTTTTCAAATGCAGAGTCATTGTTGATTATGTTGTCAAAAAAAATTTTTACTTTACAAAAACATGAATTTTTTAGGCCCCTTAGATTATAAGGCCCCAAACTGTAGCTTTTTTAGTTTGTGTCTAAATCCAGCGCTGTGTAATGGTGGTGGGGTGGCGGTTATCGTGGTACTAGTAATAGTAGTAGTAACAGTTGCTGCTGTTGGTGAATAGGTGTCATTTGTATTTGTTGGTTTAGTCTTCTTCTTTGATCCTTCTGTCAGAAAACTTATACCAAGAGGCCGGTAGCTTTAATGAAAGCTATCGTACAATCCATATCTTCTCGTGTACCATACAGTTTTGTCTTGATTGTGGTTAGAACAGGCCAGATTGCGTCTCTGTTGTCAGCATACGTTAACAGTGTTGGAGCACATGCTCAGCATTTTCTGGTGCCACGCTGCAGGGACACGTCTCCGTATTTCCTACACCGAGACGTTTGAACATATGTTGACGACGTCTGTTGTGCCCTATCCTTAGTCTGTATATAATACATTGTCCCTCTCTTGAGAGGCCACGAAGCGAGTTTTGAGTAGAGAAATTGGAGTGTGTATCAGCCACCTTTTTTGGATACAAGGTTTTATTGTTGTCTTAGTCTCTTGGTGGGGTTGGTGTAGTAGTTGTAATAATCGTGGTGGTTGTTGTGGTATAGTCGTTTTAGTTGGTGTTGGTTGTGGTGGTGATTGTGGCAACAGCAGTAGCATGTCAATACACCACGGCGCCGTCCCGATAGAAATAGTAGTTTTCTCAAACGTTATGTGCTGATAGAAAAGAAGAGGGTTGTCGAACCTGCCCTGGCGTAAACTTGTGGTCACTCAACAGAACCAACGTCACGAATGTCAGTAGAAAGTGAACAATGGCCGTCTGTAAAACCAGGGCTTTCATCAAACGCACATTTCTCCTGTAGAGACAAATAATGAGCAACTGAGGTTGGGGGGAAAGATGGGGGGGGGGGGGGAGCCTAAACTCTCACATGATGTGACTAGTAAGGTGTTATAAATTTCTGCTGGCAGTTATTTAGTGGGAAACAAGAGTTGATGGACATAAAAGTATTTACCAGAGAGGAGATTAAATGTATTGCGGTGCAGCAAAGTTGTACATACAAGTATATACCAGAAAGGAGATGAAATATATCGTAGTGCAGCAAAGTTGTAAACATACAGTAGATAAGTTAACCCCCTTATTGTTCAGTTGGGAGGTCTTTCGTCGAACGGCTTGAAGATCCAACACAGTGTCACTTCAAGAATTTAGTTGCTATAAATAAATGCAGGATATTTGAATCTGGTTTTTTATACACACATCTGAAGTCCCGCCATCCCAGGTGCATGTGTTCTGGATATTTACTGTTGTACATGAGGTACAAACCTGCCCAAACTGGACTGCAGGCCACAAAGTAACCTTTTGTGGTGTCCCAATATAACTGTGCTTTATGGTTACACGTTTGAACGGGGTTGGCAGGATTTGTACCTGGTCTGATTCACCTTCTTGAGATGTTGATCCTACAGAAAGCAATTCTGAAGGGGACAAACTTGGAAGGGGAGGGGGGAGGGAACTACCTGCAGTCGAACACGGCCAATGGAAGGAATATAAGGAATACCAGACTGCATCTGTGAGATTGGGAACTGATACCTGTCAGAAAAAGCTGTACAGAATGTGGCTCTTAAAGAGCTGAAGTCAACAGCTTCTCACACATAGAGACCCTGGTAGGATTCGGCGTTACACAGGCTACAAATGCCAGGCGCTTTGTTGTAGTGTGGCCAGTCTATCGACAACTCTAGTCAGTTGTGAAATTCTTCTTCTTCTTCTCCTTCTTCTTCTTCTTCTTCTTCTTCTTCTTCTTCTTCTTCTTCTTCTTCTTCTTCTTCTTCTTCTTCTTCTTCTTCTTCTTCTTCTTCTTCTTCTTCTTCTTCTTCTTCTTCTTCTTCTTCTTCTTCTTCTTCTTCTTCTTCTTCTTCTTCTTCTTCTTCTTTTTTCTTTTTCTTTTTTTTTCTTCTCCTTTTCCTTCTTCTTCTTCTTCTTCTCCTTCTTCTTCTTCTTCTTCTTCTTCTTCTTCTTCTTCTTCTTCTTCTTCTTCTTCTTCTTCTTCTTCTTCTTCTCTTCTTCTTCTTCTTCTTCTTCTTCTTCTTCTTCTTCTTTTTTCTTTTTCTTTTTTTTTCTTCTTCTTTTCCTCTTCTTCTTCTTCTTCTTCTTCTTCTTCTTCTTCTTCTTCTTCTTCTTCTTCTTCTTCTTCTTCTTCTTCTTCTTCTTCTTCTTCTTCTTCTTCTTCTTCTTCTTCTTCTTCTTCTTCTTCTTCTTTCTCTTCTTCTTCCGCCTTCATAAGGTTGTTTTTTTTTTTCTATACTGTTGTGGTTTGCAGCTAGATTACAATATCTACGTGTTTCGCACTTTCATCCGATTTCCACAACGCCATAATGAGTCGCCTTTTAGAGATTGCGTGCATGTTACAGTGCAGTTAGTTTACTGTGCCCCCCCCCCCCTTTCCCTTTTCCCCCATGATGTTAGAGAACCTATAGTTGAATATTAAGTTGCAGTACCTGTCATTCACACCCTACTGGTACTTAATGATGGAGAGGGAGGCTAGGGGTTCTGCGATAGAGTACCTGTGGACATGATCGCAGGAACCTAGGGGTTCAGACATCTTGACAACCCCCTTCTCCCTTCTCCCCCTCCTCCCCCCCCCCCCGGTTCTCTTCTTTCCCAATTAAACATAACCACGCACAAACATACACCCACACGCAAACATACACCCACACGCAAACATACACCCACACGCAAACATACACCCACACGCAAACATACACCCACACGCAAACATACACCCACACGCAAACATACACCCACAAGCAAACATACATACACAGCAGCGGCCAGATTGGGCAAGCACAGGCAGCAGCAACAACATGGCGGCTGTCGTGTGGCAACTTCTTCTCCCTTTAGCCGCCAACTGAGTTTTTTACTGCCGCCAAAATAGAGCACCATGAGCGAGCTGAAGCTGCACACAGACACCGCGATGTAGCTGAAAGCAAACAGATAGTTTTAGGTCAAAAACAAACCACACACACACACACACACACACACACACACACACATGCACGCGCACGCGCGCACGTACACACACACACGCGCGCCCGCGCGCACACACGCACACACACACACAATTTCTGATGCCAACGGTGTTTAATTATTAAAAGGCTTTTGTCTCGCAAAATCGACTAATTCATAGTTTTGAACGTATCAGCAATCACTCCTCGCGAAATCGCCTTACATAACGGGCGTTCTCACCCCAGCCTGCATCAGTGCTTAGTAAGTCTTGTCTCATTTTTTTTTTTTTTTGATGAATTTATTTTCGTTGTTCATAAAATACTGGTGTAAGAATAACTGTTCTAAACTTTTAATGAATCTACACAATACTTACATGGCGTTAATTAGATGGCAATAAATGACGGATCGCGGGACACACAGTGCTGCAAGTGCCGTCAGTGATACTGTCTTGTTAAAACAGATTTGGATAAACTATGTTATTTATAGTATAGATGATGATAATGATGATGATGATGATGATGATGATGATATAAAATATATCACAAAACAGACAGACGGACACAACGAACTTACGCAAGCAGACGGCAGATAAACACACAGACAGACAGGTAGACACATAGAAAGATAAATGGATGGAAGGATGGGTGCGTGGGTTTGGGTAGGTAGACAGAGAGACAGAGATAGATAGATAGATAGATAGATAGATAGATAGATAGATAGATAGATAGATAGATAGATAGATAGATAGATAGATAGATAGATAGATAGATAGATAGATAGATAGATAGATAGATAGAACAAACTTTCTTTTTTAAGGGTTAATAATTGGGCACGCAGGCCCGTCTAACATTCTGCCCTTTGAGGTCTCCCTCCATTCTTTCATCATTTTATTCCCACATCAAGTAATAAACATTATCGAAAACAAAACATTCAGTAAAAGCACTACCCCGTGTGGGTTCCGGGGCCCATTGTGGGGAAAACAAGAATAGACCCACTGCCTCCCCAAGAGCATGTCGTAAGAGTCGACTAACTGGGGAGCTTCCTTTGAAGTCGGAGTGCATCTGCCTGAGAGGCAAGGAACCAGCAGTCTGCATTCAATTGAATCAGATCTGTAAAACTGATGCACACGCAACACTCAGGTTCTGAAAAATGACTGCAGTCCAGAAGTGGACGAACAACCAGAACTTTACGCCAGAGTGTACAGCTGGTGAACACAAAGAAGAAAGAAGAAGAAGATGTAAAAGCATTGGAATGTCTACACTTCTAACTACAACAAACCGTAGTAGTTGTTATAAATCTATGGAAAATGGCGCTATTTCAAAAATATTTTTCTTTTTGTTCTCTATGGGGGCATGTAATCTGTGCTTAAATAATATTCGAACAGTTTTCGATTGTATGTATAGGGGCTAGTAGTATTTTTGATCTGTTGTGGAAGACAGTTCCACAGCTGAGCTGCGGAGTACGCCAAACTTGTTTTGTATAGGTCTATCCTAGGTTTAGGGATGTGTAATATGTTTAGGCGTTTGCTGTGTCTTCAATTATATTTAAACAATGGCCATAAGTAACATGGAGCTTTTAGGGATAATATTTTGTGCATAAATTTCGCCTTATTGAAAAGTAGACATTCACAAAGCAGTAGTAGCATAAGACCTTTATATGTTTCGGAACTCACTGCCCCATGATTATTACTCATTAAGCGAAATGCGCGCTTTTATAGTGACGTGAGCCTCTTGATAACAGAACTGGAACAGCCATCCCATTTTGTAGAGCAATAGACTATATATGTCTGGATGTGAGAAATATAGAATGTCTTTTTTGTGTTTTTTTCAAGAAAGTTTTTAATTTTTGCCAGCTGGTAAACCTTTTTAGCTGTTTGCTTCACAAGTGCTTGTACATGTGAGTTGAAGGTTAGATTTGCATCAATGATCAACCCCAGTGCTTTGTGCTCAGTTACACTTTCCACTTGAGTCCTCCCAATGTAGAGTTAAAGCGTTCTCTGTGAATTTAGACTACATAGTTTTTGTCTCGTTGTTATTAGCATAGATTTTGTTTTACTAATGTTTATTTGCATACGGTTTGCACGGCTCCATTTGGCTATATTGGTTAGTTCTTATTGTAATGACGACTTTAGTACACTACTTGTTTGAACATTTGCATAGATGGTACATTTGTCTGCGAATAGATCGCAGGGCGACGTCAGACACAAGGGAAGATCATTTATGTAAATACTGAATAACAGAGGGCCGAGAATCGAGCCCTGGGGCACGCCAGTATTTAAACTAGTTGTCCGCGATAGGGATTTATCATACGAGATTATTTGTTTTCTATTTAACAAAAAGGATTGTATTAACTTTATTAGCCTAGGGTTAAATTTCATTGTTTCTAATTTTCTCATAAGAATATTATTGTCTATCATGTCAAAGGCTTTTTTAAAGTCTATAAATACCCCTCGACATATTTTCTCATCGTTAATATTCTGATGTCAGTTTTCTATCATGTTTGTTAGGGCAGTATGGCAAGAATATTTTGGTTGAAACCCTGATTGGTTATCGATTATAAGCTTGTTGCGATCTAAATATTGAAATGTTACTTTATTAATATGTTTCTCTAGTGGTTTTAATAGAGATAATAACAGGGAGATCGGTCTATAGTTACCTGGGATGCTACTGTCTAAGGAACCAGATTTTAGGTGTGGATAAACTTTGGCAATCTGAAATGCCAGCGGTAAGTAGCTTTTAGCAAGACATTGGTTGTTGATAAAAGTCAGTGACACGCAAATAACTGGCGCAGCACTGCGAAGGATCCTATTGCTGATTCCATCTAAACCGGACGCATTGCTGTTTCTGAGGCTGTTGAGATGTGTAAACACATCAGCCACTGACATGAGAAGTATGTCAGAAGGAATATCTTCGGAGCATTTATTTTCACAAAATGATGAAAGCAGGGATAAATCACAAGGACAGTTTGGCATTGTGGCTTTTAACTGTTCTATATCGGTTTCAAAGAACTTACTAAAATCTTCTGATGTTAAGTTAGATGTCAGTAAACGTGTTGAAGTACCTTTTTTCAGTCAATGTATTAATTGCCTTCCATATATCTTTGGTGTTTTGTTTTATCTACTATTAACATTTAAAAAAAAATGCTTTTTCTCCTTACGAATGGCATACTGGACTTTATTTCGCAGACCCCGGTATCTGATAAAGTCTTTATTTTATGTGCCCTATCGAGCTCTCTCATAATTTCAACTACTTCCTGGGTGATCCATGGGGATTTAGTCTGATGTTTGACGCGTACCTCCTTAATTGGCACATGTTTATCAAATACGCAAAAGAAGGTCTTCAGTCAATATTCAAGAGCGTTATCTGGGTCAGGAAGTTGATAAACATGACCAAGAGGTGAATTGAGCAGGTCCAGTAGGATTGTATCTTGATTAAAATTTATGTTTTTTGGGGGGTAATTTTCGTTCCTATTTTATTCCACACACACACGTCACTGGGTAATGATCGCTCATTGCTGTAGTGGGTACCTTGCATTCTATGTTATCAAGACATGTTGCATAAATGTGATCTATGAGTGTTGACGATGATTTTGTTATTCTAGTAGCTTGATTGACTAGCTGTTGGAGATTGTATGAGGCAGTTATGTCTTCCCAAGTCTTATTGGATTTTAGGGCGTTTATATTAAAGTCCCCAAGAAGTATCATTTCTCCTACATTGTTGAACACTGCATCCATCATGACGGTGAAGTTTTCATACCACATTGTATTAGCACTAGGGTTGCGATAGAGATAGCTAACTACAATGGGTCTGTGATTTTGTAGCTTAACTTCCAAAACTATGCATTCTACCTCCTTAGTCTCTAAGTCTAGTCTACGGTGAACATTCAGTGAATCACTGACGTAGACCGCTATACCCATCTCTTGTTTCCAATGTGGGTCTCTTCTGATAACTCTAAAACCATTGACATGTATATCATCATCTGTTATGTTGTCATTTACTCTACTCTCACTAAGACCAAACATCTGAAAACCTTCACAAAGAATAAGGGACAGTTCGGGCAGTTTTCCCAGACGATGGCATATATTCAGAAGTCCTAATTTAAGCCCAGTTTTAGTAAGCAAAAGCTCACATGTGTCAGACATTATATAAATTCAGCGTTAACAGTACAATATAATTTCTGGCAACACCACAGTATTTGAAGCTGCAACAATAACAATAATTGTGACCATAACCAAGTACAATGAGTTGCAAAAACAAATTAATAATTGGAGTAAAAGGAAGAACGATTGAAACGACAGAGAGAAAGAAGAAAAGTTGAAATAAAATTTCTTAACTCACATAAATCACCACCTCACTTACAGTTAAGCTGATTTAGTAGGCTACAAATGTGTAGCTCGATTTACAAGTCAGTGTTTATGAATGTATCTGTGTGACCCACTGCTGATCAAGTGGGCAGCACGGAAACAGTGAAATAAACGCTTAATGTAAGAATATAGCAAATATAATAATATTTTATTATTATTTTAAAATAATAGTAATAATATAATGGATTACTAAGTTGCAACGCTAACAATAGTAATAGCCAAACTACTAAAACCAGAGAGAGAGAGAGAGAGAGAGAGAGAGAGAGAGAGAGAGAGAGAGAGAGAGAGAGAGAGAGAGAGATAATGACTAAAGCAATTCACACACGTCCACTTAACTTACAGCTAAGGAAAGTTATACAATATTAAAACTCGCCTAAGAGATGGACTAAGCACAGCAATTTGTCGCACAAGTCAATGTTTATATATGCAGTCGTGTGACCCACTGGTCAAGTGGGAAACACACTAATAAGCAATATATATATAGAAACTCTTGAGGTATAGACTTTTTCAGCTGAGATACGGTAGATAGATAGATAGATAGATAGATAGATAGATAGATAGATAGATAGATAGATAGATAGATAGATAGATAGATAGATAGATAGATAGATAGATAGATAGATAGATAGATAGATAGATAGATAGATAGATAGATAGATAGATAGATAGATAGATAGATAGATAGATAGATAGATAGATAGATAGATAGATAGATAGATAGATAGATAGATAGATAGATAGATAGATAGATAGATAGATAGATAGATAGATAGATAGATAGATAGATAGATAGATAGATAGATAGATAGATAGATAGATAGATAGATAGATAGATAGATAGATAGATAGATAGATAGATAGATAGATAGATAGATAGATAGATAGATAGATAGATAGATAGATAGATAGATAGATAGATAGATAGATAGATAGATAGATAGATAGATAGATAGATAGATAGATAGATAGATAGATAGATAGATAGATAGATAGATAGATAGATAGATAGATAGATAGATAGATAGATAGATAGATAGATAGATAGATAGATAGATAGATAGATAGATAGATAGATAGATAGATA